GTGGAAACAGTATTCCATACATGGTCTGATTTGAGCCTCACAAAGAAGAGGAAGTTGTTCAGAAGTGAAGAAGTTTTTTGAACGGAACAGGAAATCTTATTTTCGGGGAGTGGTTTTGGCGAAAGAAGTTACATGGTCATGCCAAGACCCATTGCTCTACTTCCGGTGATATCAAAAGTAATGGAAAGAGTTGTGAACAATCACCTAACCAAGTACTTGGAAAAGTACAAAATTATCAACGATAAGCAATACGGATTTCGAAAATATAGGTCAACTGGCGATTTACTTACATACGTCACTCACTTATGGCAAAAAGCGATTGAGTTGCGGGGTGAAACAAGAACAATTGCCTTAGATATATCTAAAGCATTCGACAAAGTTTGGCATGAAAATTTGCTCAACAAGCTCAAAGCAATGGGATTATCGCCGAAACTTTGCACTTGGTTTGAAAGTTACCTAAAGGACAGATCCATTTATGTTGCACTGGATGGCCAGAACTCCAACTCTTACCAAATACATGCTGGTGTGCCACAGGGAGCAATCCTTTCGCCAACTCTTTTTCTGATTTACATAAATGACCTCATAGATAAAACAGTAAATCCACTTTATTGCTTTGCAGACGATGGCAATGTAGTCTCCTCACTCATACCACCCACAGGTCTTTCCGCACGTGAATTCCATCATCTTAGACTAACTCAAATATCGCAGATAAATAACGACCTGGAGATAATAGAGGACTGGGGTAACAAAAACCTTGTACAATTCAACGCGCAGAAAACCCAAGCAGCTCTGTTTTCAAAAAAGACCAGCACCGGTGAGCCAATCATCATGCTATCTGGAAGTGCTGTTACATTACAGAGTCAGTTGAACATCTTGGGGGTTACTGCAGAGACCAACATGTCTTGGCACAGTCACGTGGCAGATATTGCTAAAAGGGCGTCCCAAAAGCTGGGGGTGCTATATCGTACAAGACATCTGTACACACCAAGCCAATTGCTGACACTCTACAAAGCCCAGATTCGACCAACTATGGAGTACTGCTCACATATATGGAGTGCAGCACCCAAACATACCTTAATGCTTTTGAACACCGTGCAAAAACGAGCTATCAAGCTGATCAATGACCCCGCACTTACTCGTAACTTGGATGGTCTCGAAAATCGCAGATCTGTGGGCGATTTATCTCTCTTCTACAGGTACTATCACGGAAAATGCTCTGAAGAGTTGGCACGTATGATTCCACCGAGAGTAGCACCTACCAGGCGAACCCGTCAAACAGACGGTAACCATGAAATTGAATTTACTGGCAAACTAGAGGCACCAAGAACCTCATTATATCAGAATTCATATCTCTGGAGAACAACATCGCTGTGGAATAAACTCCCTGCGACGGTTTTCCCTGCAGGTTACAACCTGAACCGTTTCAAGACCAACATACACCGACATTTCCGCGCACTTGCCGCTTCTCGAGCGTCCGTAAAAAAAAAAAAGACAAGTTGATCGATGCGGTCACCCCAAGAAGGCATACTGAGGTTGATAGATAGTTTTGTCCCGACATACTTAAAACTGAATCTTGGGCGAGGCGTATGGCAGTGGCTGCAGTAAGCGGTTTGTCAGAACAGAAAGATGCCATTGAGGTACTATCGTTCGCAAAGCTGTATATGGGCTTTCTTGTCACATTTTACCAATTGCTTATAAAAAGGAAAAACAGTGTTGGGGACAAAATTGAGCCTTGGGGAACGCCCGCATTTATAGGTGTATCAGAAGACACACCATCGACCAAAATATGCAGTAACCTGCCCTCCAAAAAGCTCTTGAGCCAATGGCAACATTCGTTCAGAAGATCATCGGATCATACGTTGGAAGTTTGCTGCGAAGACCTTTGTGCCACACCTGATAAAAAGCCTTGAAGATGTCCAATGCTACAATTTTGGATTCGTCATGTTTTTGGAGAGTACCTAAAATGCGAGAACAACTAGCTGCCGGAAACTTTATAAATGGAGTTCGAGATATCGAACGAGGTACAGAGATCGCTGTTCATAAACAAACCATCAAGAAGCAGAGGGGTCTTGACTAAAGCCCTAGAAATTGAAGTGGCATATAAGATATCGAAGCCAAAGATCGGAGCTGTGACCATACAAGAAAAAAAAAAGCACCAACGGGAAAAATTAAAGACATATTGGAGGAAATTCGAAAGGTTGGTTCCAGAAGCAATCAAGGGAAATGGAAAGGAAGAATCGAATGTTACCGCTGCGGTAGAGAGGGTACAAACAGACATTTAAAACGTGACTGAGGTGTATGGCTAGGATCTCGCTCTCCTGGTGACTCTCACCCTTCAGAAGAGAACCAAGAAAACTACAATTAGCCAACACAGAGGAGCGGGTGTCGGCTAGTGCAATTGAAGTCCCTAGAATCATATCCATCAAAATGCTGAGGAAGAATGCGGATAGTTTGACTATTGAAGGAAAAATTACTAGGAGAAATCTCATCTTAATAATAGTGGACACAGGCGCAGCCGTATTTCTACTAAATTCCAACATTGCCAGGGAGTTCAATGTAAAGCCACTTCCGAGGAGAGTTTTTCTGCGCATAGTGACTGAAGAGACCGCTAATATACATGGAGAAACAGAAATTGACCTGAGATTAAGAAATATCAAGATCTGTCACACAGTGGTGATTGCTGATATAACGGATGAGTTTATTTTGTGTATGGACTTAATCAGTCATCATGGTTTTGCATTCGAAAATCAGCTCAACATCCTGAAATTTGGCACTGAAGAGTTTGTACTGTCAAAACCCAATGGTTCAAAGTCCGTCACCTTAAACGCTACACAAACTGTGAATAATAAACGGCAACACCGAACAAATTATAATTGGAGAGGTGGAGAATGATCCTGGGAGCTGCGTTGGACATGTACAACCACACCAAACTTACAATAAATACCTCGTCAGGAAAACTTTGGACATTGGTAAACTCACAAGGAATTATACCAGGCCGAATAGCAAACTTCTGCCACAACACTATTCAAGTCAAGAAGGGCGATGTCATAGCCGCCTGACAAAGAGATTTCAAAATGTAAAGCTAAAGAACATTAAGGAAATGAGTCATCCCAGCGACATTCTAAGACAATTCGAAACATTTTGGCAACATCTTTTCTCTGCAGAGCTAAAGGCTCAACAGTTCCTTTGTGAGAACAAGGATATCTTTGAGGAAAGAATGGTGAAACTGGTAAGACGAACATCATTAAGGCCCAGTTGTAAAAACGCAGTTTAAGCCAAAGTTCTGTTAAGTCTGGTTCAACTGTTGAACCTGGCTCAGGATGCATGATCCGTTTTACAATACAAAGTTAAACCTTGTTTAGTTAAGTGGCGTTTATCCACTAATCGATCTGGCAACAGTGTAATTTGTCTGTCCAGAACATAATGGCATAGAAACGAAGGTATATTGTCAGACTAACCTAAAAATAAAGAGCCATTTTCATTTCCATTTCTATTTACTTCTCCTATTTCGCTTTTTTGTCTGCATTGTGCTTTTTTTGTGGTGTGGCTTGTCATAATTTCAACGTTTCTATATTCGTAAGTAAAATTATTTATTTGAAATTGATTTCGCCCATATATGACACGACACATTTTATTTAAGGATATGGATGATAAAGGAGAAAAAAAAGTGGCAAAGAGAGCACCCAATTTCACCAACAAAGAAGAGGCCATTTTGATGGGCCTGGGTTAAAGCCTACAAGCATGTGTTGGAAAATAAACAAACTGATTCAAATTTCAATAAAAAAAAAACGGGAGTGCTGGAGAGAAATAACTTCTAGATTCAATTCACAAAGTGGGGAAGTATGTACAGTTAACCTGAGAAAAAAGTATGAAAACTTGAAAAAGAAAACATGCAAGAAGCTAGAAAAAACAGAAATTCTGTCTGAAATTCATGTCGAGATACGAGACATTTTGAGCGTTAGGGTAGAAGGTTTGAATTCAGAATTTGGGGGTGATGCACAAAATAATGAGCTAGATGGTAAGATGTAAATTGCTTATACATAAATGGAGGATCTAAATCAATCCTTTATTTTATTGGGCTTGCTTTCGGTTTCGTCATTTAAATCAATTTCAATGCTTATGAATTTCAATAGGCGAATTACTATCAAGATTCAAGTGCTTTGTAAACTGAAATCAACATCAACCTTATTCTTATGCTATTTTTCTGAAGTAGGTACCAGACATCTGAAACAAACAAATAATGTACAACCTATAGGTACCTACGTGTTAATTGGAGAATGGCAATAATCAATAATAAATTCGGTTGATGATTATTGTATAATTTTTAGTTGATAAAAGCAAGGAGAATATGGATGTGGATAATCAGGTGGATGATACTATAGATAAAATAGATATTTTAGAGAAAAACACACCTTAGGCGAAGAATACGGTCCAGAGCTTGAGAACACCAAAATCAAGGATACCGACTGCTAAGAGTAAGCAATATCTACAGTACAGTTATGCAAACAGTTAAATAATTCTTGCAAAATTATAAATTTCTAAGAGTATTTTGGAAATTGAATCAATCTATGGGACATCATAAAATGAAATGAGCTTAGAATATTTCGAGTGGAATCTAAAATTATAATAATAAACACAAGAGTGTTCCTTAAAATAGACACCTTTTTGTAAATATTATATTACAAATGTTCCATTTTAGAAGGTAATACCTACAGTAAATACCTTTTTCTTTTTCATTTTTCGATTATTAACTAATTACCTGTCTTCAAATATTTTCACTATGCATAAAGATCCATATGAGCTAAAAAAACCTATCATAATGCAAGACATATGACATTAGGAAATGGAAATACTCTTCTAAACTTCTGAGTACCTTCACCACTTGTAATTAGCTTCCACATTGGATATAAAAGAAGTTGAATCGGTTCATACTTCATTATATTTAGGCACTTTATATATGGACATGGGTGAGGTTAAAATTGTAATGTTTATTTTTGCAGGGACACCTGCTAAAAAACCCAGGAATGAGTATGACGCTATGTGTAGCAAAGTTACTCAGTGGGTGGGACATAGGGCTAAACTTGAAAATGTAACAATTAAACACATTGAAGAAGAGCATTCATTGAAATTAGAAATAATGGAAAGGAAATGTGCTGCTGAAATTGAGGCAATCAAGAAAGAGTCGGATGCCAGGATTGCAAAGATTGTAGCTGAGCAGGAGTAAATAATATTAGGATTGACAGAGCAGAACATAATCAAAAAAGAAATATTATATTTAGAGAAACAACATACTTTGCTGAGAGTAAAATATAAAGATGATATATAACAAAAAAAGTCCCTTCGAAATGTGTTTCATTTTTATTTCTCATTTTAAATTATCTTTTTAAACTGCATGTAGTACAAATAACTAATAATTAATTTAGATTGAATTATTGAAATATCCAATCAGTTGGTGTCTAACTACTGCATTACTGTTATTAATATTGAATAGGTTCATGTATGCATCCACATCCACTCAATTAACAAAATTAATGGCATATTCTTCCTTTTCGTTAACAGGGGGATCAGGGTCATTTATCAACTTTGCTATGTTTTCAAACACTGCAGTTGCAATGACTACTGCCTCTACTTTTCGAGTGTCTAATCTTATACGAAATGACAGTATAGGGAATCTACGTTTCCATTGTCCAAACTTCCGCTCAACACAGTTTCTGGTTCGAATTTGAGATTCAGTGAAGAGCAGTTCTCTTCGAGTTGTTGGATTTGCAAGTGGAGTTATCAGGTAGTTCCTTATTCCATACCCACTATCACCAACCAGAACGCAATCTTGAAACTTTGCTCTTTCAAATTTTGCTTTTGAATTGCAATAAGCAAAAATATTCGAATCATGTGCAGAGCCTGGATATCTACACACAACATCTTGAAAAAAACAGTCACACACCGCCTGCATATTATATGAAAAAAACCCTTTTCTATTTTGATAAACTTCTGCATATTCACCACCAGGTGATAATATTTTCACATGTGTGCAGTCTAAAGCTCCTATGCATGTTGGAAATCTTGCAACACTATAAAACTTTTCAGAAACACGTTCATATCATCTTCGGTGACTGGCATTTGATTAATGAATTCATTGTAGAGACCAGCAATAGCTCTTCTAACTTTCCATAATATACGGCTTGCTGTACCCTTGTCAACTCCTACGAGGTCTCCAACAGTTTGCAAAAATTTACCTGTAGCATAATATCTTAAAGCCAGAAGCAACATCTCTTCTGGAGCTACAGCATGGATTCTGAAAGGTGAAAATAAACGAATTGGTAATGCCAACAATGAATATTTTAATACTTTATCAATGAAAAACTGAGGTTGAAAAATTCAAAATAAGTTCAAGTTAACTCAGCGAAATTATTGTCAGAATATATATTATCATCAATATTTTTACTCACTGTTCGGTGGGCGAGACTATTTGATTCCTTATTCTGATAAGCACGAAGCGCACAGCATTTTTGGAAAGCCTAAATCTCTGGATAAAATCATTTAAAATAACAAAAAAATCAGGTCTTTCCCTGAATTTCTTTGGCATTCTGCGAGCATTCCGAAGAGCATCCAGGACCTGCAACAAATCCTCATTATCTGTAAGATCACCAAGTACTTTTTGAAAATTCATTTTTCAAATCCCCAAAAACTGATAAATGGAACTAAATCGTTTTCGTTTATATTCAAAATTCAAAATTTGTGGTTATGTTATCTAAAACCTTGATTTAAGCCTCCGTTTTTGACGGTTCAGCGGAACTGGGTTCAACTCATACACTTGAACCAGGTTTTAGGATAAACCATACCAACCACTTTTCTCAATTGAACTTAGCTCAAATCTTGAACAACTCTTAAGTCAGGATTTTACAACCGGGCCTGAACATGAAATCAATACTTGCAGTGCTCATCCGATCCGTCAATCACCTAGAAGACTGAATGACCAAACAACAAGAAGTGGGGTCTCTAGTAGACAGTATGCTTGCAGAGGGAGTTGTTGAAGAGCCTTCAAGCCCGTGGTTATCGCAAATAGTATTAGTAACAAAGAAAGATGAATCTACCAGATTTTGCGTCGATTACAGAAAGCTTAACGATATCACTAAAAAAGACAGGTACCCATGAATTGACGATATACCCCTACGACATTGGCAGACTCAAATTAGGGGTTTCTACTTTGGAATTAAAGAGCGGAAGCTGGCCGGTGGGCACTGACAAAAACGACAAATAAGTGATAACGTTCTCCACTGGAATTGGTCTTTACCAACTTAACTCTGTAACGCCTCCGCTACTTTTGAGAGGTTGATGGAAATCGTTCAACGAGGACTTACGTGGAAAGACGTATGCCTTGTCTACATGGATGATAAGTTAGTGATACAGCACCTCCTACGAAACTTACAAGAAATATTTGTTCGCATCCGGAAACCTCCGACCGAATACAAGAAATATATTCACTCTTCCAACAGCGCGTTGATTTTCTTAGCCTTGTAGTTTCACCCTAAGGAATCCAAATTGACGAGAAAAAAATCCAAGCAAATCGTGAAGGGCCTCGACTTCGGGACCAAAGCTGCTTTAGAAAAATGCTTACCTCTAATAAGAGAAATCTGGACCTGCTGAACGGATTACATCACTCAACTAAGGGGAAAGGACGGACTTATTCCTAGATAAAAAACGGTTGCACGTGTTAATTGTCATATAATTCCATGAAAATATTCAAACTTACCGACGAAACAATCGACCAATGAACAAGCTCTAGGCAAAATTATAAGGCTAACTCCTTCCACCGTACAAAACTCTATAATACTTGCCACCTGGGTACTAACTCAAACTAACCCAAGGCATGGCAAGATGGTCTGTTTACTACCATCTTTGGACTAAAAAGAAATGCACAGAAGCGCCTGGTCTATCTTAACCACACCGGTAGAGAATTTTAAAAAATGGAAGTGATTTCAAGTTAGTGTTAATTGTGCCTTAACAGGTATTTAACTAATTGGTTTGAATGGTGTACTGCGCTCAAAAATATGCTCGAACCAGATATCTTGTTGAGTCTTCACTAAGGCAGCAAGATAGAAGACTTGAAATTGCACATGAGCTAGGTACATGAAACTTATATTGGGCTGCCCTGCCCTTTCAGGACACATTTAGAAAGTATACGCGCCCTCGATCGATCTAAGCCATATCTAGCCAAGTCCAGTAATAAGCGATAATCAGGCTATAGGAACAAGCTTGCGGTAGTGTAGGATACGTTGACAGTACCACCGAAAGACAAAGTATATGTACTTTTAAGGGTACCGCTCACACATTAAAAGTCGAGGTATTTAACATAAATACGAACCCCTTATCACATGGGCGAATTATTTCAAGTCCATGAGAATGAAAAAATTAAATATATAATAAGTCAGTTATCTGACGCGATTCATCGAACAAAAAAACGAGCAAAGGCATTATTAGCCATAGTCGAATATGCTAGAAAATTTTTACTTATGCGAAGAAATTAACTTTATTCTCATGAATAATCAAATAGTGACACTAGAAAAGGGAAATAAGTGCAACAATGAGTGAACCAGATATTTTATGGCGCCAAATACTCTTATTAATGCACTTAGTTATTCGAGACTTCGTATATCGAGAATTTTATTGATGTCAATTAGGGGTCAATTCATTTTTATTAAAGATTGGGATTACGACAGCAAGCTGCAGGCGATTGCGTCAGTCTGATTCAGAAATTTCATGATTTATGTTTGATAGAGGATCACCGATTTGATTGACATCGGTGTTTGGTATTATCGAAACAAAAACTATTCATATTTTGTGAAGCTTATGCTTTTTGTGAGCAAAAACTTTTCTCCTTCAAAGCAGTTAAGCGAAAAAACCTGCGTATATAGGTTTTTTTTTTATAAAAAAATAAATATTCAAATTTTGAAGTCCGGAAACTCGTGTAAAAGGCCCTTTTTGCCCTTAAATTACTCAAAAATACAACTTCCACAACCAAACCCAACTTGAATTTTAAATCTGGAAGATGTTCCGGGAGACTCAGAATCAATCTGTAAGTCTTAGATATTCTAGTGGCAAAATCAAGCATCTTTTCCTCTGGAAGAACTAACCCAAACTAAAAACATTGGAAAGCATTTTTTTTTCCCAATTTGATTTTTGTCCCTGGACATTGGAATTGGAGAACTCACTTTCACAAGTAGGCGAAGTATTTTAAGATTCCAGTGTCCAAAATGAAAGAAACTAGATAACAAATAGTAAAAGCCTACCATATGGGGTCCAGTTTTTTTTGAAGTTCTTAACATGACTTTAAAAAATTCTGGTGTCTTTTCCAGCTTCATTCCTCACACGTCTTGCAAATTTAGGATTTAACTCTTTGTTATTAGTGGCTGACTTGTAACAAAAAATTTAAAATTTTACTTTCTTGTTGTTGAAAACTTTTATTTTCAATGACTTACCTTATTAAGTTTGCCAATTGTAACTTGACTAAGCCCAATTTCCACACCACCCTAGAGGTACGAGCTGTCGCTGCTTTTTTTTTGAGTGATATCCCCGGTAGGCCTAGTCCACTCGAAATTTCACTTTTACAGCCAAAACCGTCAACTATCCATTAATCCAACCTTTACTCGCCAGCTAGGAATGTTCCACTGTAAACACTTACCATAAATAGTATATTAGTGCGACAAAAGATGTCCAGGACAACTATGGCATTAGGCTCTCCCGGGGCTTCCCTGCCTTGAAGATTCAGTCGAATCATGAACTTTTTTTTGGGAATTGATGCACATATGTAATTTCACCTGGAAGAGAAAAGTAATAATCAGCAACTGGATCCGTGCAGTCATGTCCACCATTTCCAGTCATTTGTGGCCATCTCCAGAGCAATAACGAGTTCGCAAGAGATGCTGTCCAATGTCCAAAGTAATGATGAAAAAACTGGAAAAGACGTTAAAACAAAATGGACATAGAAAAGAGAAATCTGGAATGTTAGATAAATGTTTTATTATTATGCCTGAAAAAGACAAAAATGTATTATTATTATTATTACCCACGCAAAGGGATCCATAAAGCCACTGTTGGTCCATTTGTGCCATATCCAGAGCCAAAACCAACTTGCTTCCTGGTTCAATTTAGAAAGGGGATGCCTGGAAAACAATTTCATATTAGTGAAAATTCAATGTAGAAATGTTAGAAATTACCTATTTCAGC